AGACGCTTCGTGCTCGAGCGGATCGGATCGACATCACAACCGAAGATTATTGTGGGGATCGGACCGGATCGAGCCGGACCGCGAGCATCTCTGGTTTTTTTGGTGGACACGCCCAGGAGCCGTAAGCCTCGAGACAGCCCAGGCCTCCGAGGTCGTGACTTGCTCACGTGGACCCTCAGAGGTTGAGTTAGACTACTCCCTAGGACAGCCTTTTCATCCTGAGTCGTTCGTTATCTTGGACGCCCAAGATGGGTACGGAACAACAACAAAAAATGTCCAACAGCAAATGTTGTCCAAAACAGACAGCGGCCGCTGTTGGGCAGGCGGCTAGATGCCTTCAATGAACTACGTCCGCGTCGGCGCGGACAGCCCTTGTCCAAAATGAACGAGAAGTGCTGTTGGGCGTCGCGCCCCTTCTTTCCGTAGTACCCATTTCGATCGTCCCGATTCACAGCCGCGAGGCTGAGAGCGGCCAAACACCTCCCGCCGCGAAGTCTGTCCACGACGCGAGGAGGTCAGGTGTAGGTGGGCACGGCCAGAAGGTGGCGGCGCGCACAAGGACGTAGGGGGAGGGGGGGGAAGGCTGCTTTCAAGGGGCCCAGGGACACACAAATGAATAAACACAAATCTCAGGATTCGCAGATTTTTCTATGTTTTCTGGGTTTTCGTCTTCCCCCCACTTCCCATATTTTCCGATATTTTCCTGGGAGTCGACGATTGATTGTGTCTGTGCTTTCTCCCATCCTGATTCTTAGCTGGCAGCTGCTGCTTAAAGGCCCCGGCCTCACATCTAGAGATAAGGCCCGCGCCTGCTGAGAAGCAGGGGTGCGTCTGAGAGGCCCCCTCCCTCGCCCCCAACCCTGGCCGAAGGGGTGGTACGCGCCGGTCGGGGATCGACGAGGCAGGACGGCGCTTGGAGGAGAGGAGGGAGGATGAAGAGGAGCAGGGGCAGGAGGAGGAGGACGAGGAGGAGAAGGAGGAGCTCGAGGCGAGCTGCTGGCCCTGCCTGCCTCTGGCACTGCCGAGCTCAGGCTGGGCACCACCCGCCCACGACCACGAGCGCGAAGCCGAAGGCGACCTGGGACTAGGTCGGGCACGTCCTCCCACACGCGGGTTCTGGAGGAAACATAAAGCATCGTACTTGAGGGCCCCGTCCCGAGAACCATTTCGAGCACCCGGAAAAGTGTCGAAAGAGTGTCGGAAGAGTGTCGGAAGAGTGTCGAAACAGTGTCGGACGAGTGTCTCCCAGGGCCCGACACGCGAAAACCCTCGAGAATCGGTACTTGTTTCTGGTGCTCGAAATTATTTCTGGTGGTCAAGGCTAGAGTAGGTTGCAAAATCATAAGACTAAACGTGCTCAGACATAGAAAGAAGCAGCCGACAATTCGTCGCCAGGCTATTTTTTCATTTTTATACGCCTCCTGGAAAGGGACAGTCGTGACTTGGACTTTCCTGGCAAGGGCGCCACGAGGCCGAGGCGCACTGGATATGGATAAAGATCGAGCCTCCAAGGGGGGCCGATGTTTTGCCAGTATCCAGCGCGCCACGGGCTTCTGGGGAAGGAAGCCCTAAACTTCAAGCTGCAGTGGATACCTGAAGGGGCCCTGGGACACACAAATAAATACACACAAATAACAGGATTCCCCACATGTTCCCATATGTTCTAAATTTTTGTCTCCCCCCCCACTTCCCATGTTTTCCCATACTTTCCTGCGAGTGGAATATTACTTGTGTCTGTGTTTTATATGGACAGAAGTATTGCCCGCACGGAACCCGCCCACGACCACGAACACGAAGCCGAAGGCGACCCACGAGGGCCGCGGGGGGGTCAGCCATCGCCTGGTGTCAGGTCGGACCTGTCCTCCTACGGGCGGATTTGGGAAGAGAAATGAAACATAGTCGCCAGCTGTCCAAAGATACTCCCAAAGAGTAGCCGAGACACCGTCTTGGACTATCTTTGACTACTCTTGGACTATATTTGAACTATTATTGGACAATATTTGGACTATCTTTGACTCTTCCTATCTTGAATATATTGTTGGACTATTCCTGGACTATCTTTGAATCTCCCTCCTGGCACGGGACACTCCCGACCTACAGCAAGTTCGTGTCGGGCCGGCCCGGGCGTTGGCTCCTGACAACCGCGGGGATCGTTCGACCCTGAAAGCTCGGCCGTCCCCGAAACGTCCGGATCCTTCCATATCTCAAGGGGGCCCTGGGGCACACAAATAAATAGACACAAATACAATGATTCCCATATTTTCTGGGTTTTTGTCTTCCCCTACACTTCCCGTATTTTCCTATATTTTCCTGTGAATCGGCGATGAATTGTGTCTGTGTGTTTCTTCCCCTCCAGTATATCGAACGATTCTGGGTCGCCCGCGGCGTTCAAAGTGGAAGGCCGCTGGCGGGGTCCCCGCCGGTCGACACGACACGAACCTAGGGAAAACATTTTGAGCAGGGACCGACCGTCCCGGCGTTCCTACAGTCCTACCACGAAATGTTCTTCGAACCCAAAAGTGTTCTGAGAACAAAAACAATGTTCTTAGAGCAATAACTCGATGCGTTCAAACAAGACCATCTCGACCAGAACTGCTCTGAGAGCATCTCGTGGACACCACAGAAGGTTCTTAGAGCATCGTTTGGTAGAGCGAATAGGCGAGCCAGGACGCTTCGCCACTGCTTGAACATGGGAGGGCCGCGGGGGTCTGCCATCGCCCACTAGGGTTAGGTCGGGCCTGTCCCACTACAGGGGGATTCTGGACGAAAAATAAAAAAAAAAAAAAAAAAAAAAAAAAAAAAAAAAAAAAAAAAAAAAAAAAAAAAAAAAAAAAAACGAAAATATCAACAACAAAAAAAACTGAAAAAAAAGTCCCCGGACTTATTTCTTACTATGTTCGAATACTCCCCCTGTGGAGGGACAGGCCCGACTTAACACTAGGGCTTGAAGGTCGCTGGGGGGCAGCGTTGTTTCCAGGGCCAGATCCCCGTACGCTCGGCGGGCGCGCTGGATCGGCCAACAGCAATCCTCACAGCCGCCCTTCGCGAGAAGCTCTGACTTCAGGCCGACTCCTGCCGACGATTGGGCTGCCCGTGCTTGCTCCTGGCCTACAAAAACCCATTGCCCTCTCCCCCGCCGCCCCAGAAACACAGATCGCGTTCGCTGCCCCTCGCGGGGGCGAGCGGCCGCCCATCGCCCCCCGCCGCTGTGGAGCGGCCGCCCGCCGCCGCCCTCCGCGGGCTGCCCTTCGCCCGCCGCCCGGGGCGTCCGCCCCCGCGGCAGAGCGCGCCCCGCGAGGGGGCGCCTTGCCGCCGCAGCCACGGCGCGCCGCCGACCGCGCCAGTTCCCGTGCACTGTGTTCGGTGCCGTGCGTGCTTTCTTTTTGTTGGTCGATGGTCCAGGGGGGTCCTCGACGGTTCCCGCCGAGGAGAACTGCGCACGTCCGAGCGGCGCCAGGACACTTCCACGACCGGCGTGGACTGGGCACGCCGGGGTCGATGATGTGAGCGACTTTGTGACCCGGCGCCTCGACGCTCGGCGGAGAGGGGGGAGAAAGGGGGGGGGTCCGGCTCCAGGCCTCTGTGGAGTGCGACCGTTTGCAAGAGTGCTGCCTCTGGGGGAGACTCCACACGCACGAAGCAGGCGCCTAAAAAACAGCCAAGATCTACTTCATGGGAGGGGAGGGGGGGGTGGGGGGCCCGCGCCGATCGGCGCCGATCTCAGAACGCGTGTTTAGAGGCCTCCTAGATGGGGTCCGAGTAGATGGGGTCGAGGGATCCCGACGAATCGCCGATGCATCGGCGATGCATCGGCGTTGCCTCGGCGATGTACCGGCGATGTCGGCGATGCATCGGCGTCGTCGGCGTGAAGAAAGTTGAGAATCACATCGAAACGCGTCGCCGATGCGGCACACTCCTCCGACCCCATCGACTCCGTCTAGGAGGTCTAGAGTGTTAGCGCAAACGTGTGCTGGCCCACAGAAGCCCTCCAAGGCGACGCAGATGGTGCCGCGACGACGGACACAGGCAGAAGCGGGTGACCCAAGAGTGGGGCGACCGCACGCCCTGAGGATCCTCGCGGGGGGCGGCGCGCGACGAACCACTGAGCAGGGACCGACCGCCCCGGCACTCCTGCAAGCCTGCCACGTCGTGCAGACCACTAGAAGGGCTCTTGGAACACTTTTCGGTAGGCCTGTAGGCGAGCCAGGACGCCTCGCCGCGGGGCCAGGGCGCGGCTGGCCGCGGCCAGGGCCGGCGCATGCCTTGCCGTCGCTCGGACGTCCATGTCCAATGCGTTTTGTTCGGTTTCGTGCGTATTTTTTGCTCGATGGTCCAGGATGGTCCTCGATGGTTCTCGCCGAGAAAAAATGCACACGTCCGAGCGATGCCCAGCACGGGGCCTCCGGCTTCTGAGGCACGGTTTCACGATGGCTCCAAGATGGCCCAGGAGGGAGGGCTCCAAGAGCGCTTCCAAGGCTCCCAAGAGCGTCCCAAGAGAGCCCCCAAAGGCGCCCAGACGGCCCCAAGAGGCCCCAACAGGCGCCCAAGAGGCCTCCAAGAGGCTCCCCAGAGACCCCCAAGAGGCCCCAAGAAGCTCTCCGAGGCACCCAAGACGCTCTAAGAGGCGTCCGGGACCGCCAAGAGGCCCCCAAGACGCTCCAAGAGGCCTCTACTGGGGGACCCTTCCTCTGCGTGCTGCCCACTTCCCTGGTCGAGGCAATTCCTCTCTAGAATTTGCAAGCTGGGTGATACAAGTGCGAGCGGATGCAATTATGTAGCTTTTGTCACACGCAATAGTCATCGCCCGTGCGATAGTTCGCCCCCCCCCCCACCCCCCCGAAGCGGTGGCGCACTATGGCACGAATTCATATACAGTGAATGAGCGATAGCTTCTCGCGCCGCCGACCCACCACCTGCGTTAGACCCGTTCAGAATCTTTGTTTGGACCCGAGGAGGTCTGGGCTGGGAGTCTGGCCTGTCCTGGTTGATAAGCACATGTCAACGACGAGTAGGTACGGTTCTTACGCACTATTTTTTGCCGCGTCGTCATGAGTTCAAGCCTTTGATTCCGGGCGCGCCAGCGCAAGAAAGGAGCAAACCTATGTACTGCTGGCGCACAGCCGGGGGCTCGAATCTACCTCTATCGGGCGCGCAACCCAGAGCGCATCGGGAGGAGAAACTGCGCCTGCGGTTATCGCATAAACCAACGGTTTAAAACATCCGCTGAAGCGTAACCAAGTCGGAGAACGCTCGAATTATAGATCTGTCCTGCTAAACGCGGGCATCGCCAACTGAGTGTAGCACTACTGATTGTACTATGAGATGGAGGAGGAGGGGGCGGCACGATGAGGGGGGGAACAAGAGAAGGGGAAGCAAGAGGAGAGGGGGGGCGAGCGTAAGATGGGGACCGGGGAGGGAGGAGGCGGGGGAGGGGGAGGACATGGGGCGGGGAGGAGGATCGAGGGCAGAGATGAGGAGGAGGAAGAGGAGAAGGATCAGGCCCTAGGCCCTAGGCACCAGGCCTCGAGGCCGGCCCTCGGCGTGGCATCACGCGTTGCCCTGGACCTGGTTATGTTCCATGCGTGGCCGCGGCCTCATTGGCGCTCAGCTGCCGCAGACGCGACGGCTGCCATGCCGCTGCCAGACGGGGAGGAAGACGTGCTGGCCTCGCCGGTGCCGCCCGCGGGCGTGCCGGCCTCGGCGCCGTGGCCGGTCGCGGCCGCGCTGCGCAGCCCTGGCGGCCGCCGCACGCGCTGCGTCGGCGCCGCCGCAGCCCGCTCCAGCGCCGCGCGCCTCGCCTGCTCCAGCGCGGCGCGCCTCGGGTGTGCGCCGAAGTCTACGGGGCTGCCGAAGAGCCAGTCGTCCGAGGGGGGGTTCTGATCTTGGTTCTCGAGGGTGAAACGGCCAAAGCAGTGGGCGGCTGGTGCTCGTCCGCGCCGCGCGGAGAGCCCATGCCGACGTGAGAAACTTCACTGCTTCGGTGCCTCGGAAAAATCGTCCAGAATCGGCTCGAGCCAGAATGTCTTGAGACACAACGGGCCTTACACACCGTGCCGTAACGACTTCACGCCACGGGTGACGCGGGCCGTCAGCGAGGCACGCCACATTGGAAACGAGGGCGCTTGCGCGCGACCTTCGCGGACAGCTTACACACGAATGTTGGCGCGGTCGACCCCGTTTCCCCCACTCGCTCAAGTGACCTTACCCCTGCAGGTCAGATGTTTGAAACGGCAGCTGGGGTTCAGAATTCGAAGGATGTCCGCAGCCAGGTGAAAGCCAGCGGGCGCGTTCGATACCTCAGCATGGAAAGCACCCGCATGGGTAAGGTTCGCAAGTGGTCGCAAATCTGGCATCCTCTCGTTGTGAAATACTTAATGACGGATTTATGTGACAACTTTCTGCCTCTATCGCCGCAAGCGCCCCCCCTGCAAACGACGAGGCTCCTCTTCGATACTTCCTCCGCTCTTACTCAAGGCCCCCAGAGGCCCTAAGGCTTTCCTAGCCCATGTTCAACGTTAACTATTCAAGACTCGTTCTTGTGGGACACACTGCATCCGCTGCTCTGGCTCTCTCGCCTCGGCGTGCCGGCTGCATATCATTTGCATATCAGGCTCACGCTCAGGCATTTCGGGGTTGCGCCGAAACCAGCGCCCAAACAACAACAACAACAACAACAACAACAACAACAACAACAACAACAACAACAACAATTACTAGCACGTGGGGACACTCCGTTCTCACCAGTGCCAGGGTTTTCATAGGAGGCGGGCAATACCCCCACTTTGTGGGGGGGCCGGTTCAAGCTCTACCAAATTTCCAAACGACTCTTCGCCACCACCCACACCCAGCTTCCCGCCCTATGACGTTCGGACACTTCACTTCGTGGCATGCGGACGACCGTGGCTACTATTCAGGGCCCCGCGGCCGACGACGACGGCGTGCGCGCGCGAAGAAAAAACGAATGTGTCCCGCATGGTATTATTTGACAGGGATGATGGCCCTGGCAGGTGCGCAACCGTTGTTGCAGAAGTTCGAAAAAGTTGCTCGCAAAAGCCCGTTTGACAGAAATGTTTAAAAAGTGTTGGGTTTCCTACGAATCCGCAAGAGCGCGCGGGATGAAATTTTGACATTTTTTGTTGAAAAACCATTGTTTTTTTGATGTTTTTATGTTAAAATCGCTACGAAAACTAAGGTTTTGGAAGGATTTCGTCTTGCGCGCGCGAATGTCCACTTTACCTTATTTTTTGCAAGGGATTCTTGAAGTTTGGATATGTTAGAACAAGAAATGTCCACTTAGCTTATTTTTTGCAAGGGAAAACCGATCGTAACAACACAACCGGATCCGGACCAACCCGTTTTGCCTGAGACTTCCTCACGAAAATGATGAAAACGTGGCTGCGGCCTAGGCGCGGCGGGGGGGTCGTGCACCAGGGGTCCCAACAATAATTATTCTTTAGAAATAATAATGTTCAACAACAATAACAACAACAACAACAACGGCAACAACAACAACAACAGCAACAACAACAACAACAACAACAACAACAACAACAACCACAACAACAACAGCAGCAACAGCAACAACAACAACAACAACGGCAACATCATCAACAACAACATCAACATCACCACCAACAAAACCAACACCGGCAACAGCAGCAACCACAACAACAGCAGCAGCAGCACCACCACCAACAACAACAACGCCACCCCCACCCCCACCACCAACAACAACAGCAACAACAGCAACAGCAACAACAACAACAACAACAGGAGGAGGGCGGCAGGGCGCGGAGGGCAGGGCGAGCGCCCGGGGCCCGCTGCAACTGTGGGGCCACTCGCGGCGGGCGCTGGCGGGTCGAGCCGTCGCAGGCCAGGGCCCCCTCCTCGTCCCTGGTGCCTCCTCCTCCTCCTCCAACTCCTATTGCTCCTCCTCCTCCTCCGCCCCCGTCTCCACCTCCGCCTCCTCCTCCTCCTCCTCCTCCTCCTCCTCCGCCTCCTCCGCCTCCGCCTCCGCCTCCGCCTCCGCCTCCGCCTCCGCCTCCTCCTCCTCCTCCTCCTCCTCCTCCTCCTCCTCCTCTCCTCCTCCTCCTCCTCCTCCTCCTCCTCCTCCTCCTCCTCCTAGTATTTTTCGTATTGTTCTTCTTATTATGATTAGTATTCTTCTTATTACTAATTGCATTAGTCGTATTATTTGTTATTATTATACGTATTATCATTAGTCTTTGTATTATTTGTATCATTAGTACTATTATTACTACTACTACTACTACTACTACTACTACTACTACTACTACTACTACTACTACTACTACTACGATTACGACTACTACTACTACTACTACTACTACTACTACTACTACTACTACTACTACTACTACTACTAGTACTACTACTACTATTGTTATTATTATTAATATTAATATTAGCATCATCATCATCATGATCATTATGATCATCAGCATTATTATTATTAGCAGTATTGTTATTAATATGAATATTAGTAGTATTAAACTTATTATTATTACTAGTAATAATAATATTAGTTTTGTCATTCGTATACTTACAATAATAAGTATTATTATTATGAATATTATTATTAACAATAATATTAGTTTTATTATGAATAGTTGTATTAGTCGTATTATTGTTAGTAGTAATAGTAGTAGTAGTAGTAGTAGTAGTATATAGTAGTATTGGTATTGGTGTTATTATAGTGTTATTAGTCGTATGATTATAACAATTATTAGTACTTCTATTTGTATTTGTATTATCATTATTATTATTAGTCTTACTAGTTTATTATTATTAGTTTTAGTATTAGCATGCTTATTACTATTAACGAGTATTATTCTTATTTGTGTCACTCGTCGTACTATTCGTCTTATTATTACTGTTGGTATCATTAGTACTATGTTTCTTAATAGTATTGGCATTGTTAGTATTAGTATGCGTATTCGTATTAGTACTAACATGATTATGGTCAATGCTTAATGTTGCTTTTCTGATTACTCTTATTATTATTCCTATTTTCGGTAGTGTTAATATTCGTCTTCTTCCTATTATTAGTATTATTATTCTTATTATTAGTAGTAGTAGTACTAGTAGTAGTACTAGTAGTACTGAAAGTATTGTTTTTCCTCTTCCTCCTCCCCCTCATCATCATCATCATCATCATCATCATCATCATCCTTCTCCACCTCCACCCCCCCTCCTCCTCCTCCTCCTCCTCCTCCTCCTCATCCTCTTCCTCCTCCTCCTCCTCCTCCTCTTCCTCGTCCTCCTCCTCCTCCTCCTCCTCTCCTCTCCTCCTCCTCCTCCTCCTCCTCCTCCTCCTCTCCTCCCTCCTCCTCCCTCCTCCTCCTCCTCCTCCTCCCCCTCTTCCTCCCAGCTCTCCCTGTTTCCCTCCCCCCCTCCCTCCCTCCCTCGACGGCGACGACCACGTCGACGTGACGAGCGAGTCGTCGGAGGTCTGGGCGAGTCCCCACGGGGGGGGGGGCGGACGGCAGAGTGGGCGCCCGGGGCGGTCGGGCTGCGGGCCAGTCGCGACGGGCGCCAGCTGAGCGACGATCCAACACTTAGATCGGGCATGTCCTTCTACAGGTGGATGTTGGAAGGATTGTTTCTTGCTCGTCGAGGCATCGTCATCAGAATATGTGTTGACTATTTCTGAACCTTCCTCCTGTGGAAGGACATGCCCGACTTCATCAAGCGCAAATGCCACAGCGACCTTGCGCGGTGGCTGACGCGGGCCGCGAGCGCGGCCCGCTTGCTCATCGGAAACAACGACGCTTGCGCGCGAAGTTACGCGGGCAGCTCACACTCGGCCCGTATCATATGGATGCGCGATAAGCGATCAGGATGCAAAGGCCTTGGACGCCCATTCCGAAGCGCGAAGCGAAGCGAAGAGAAGCGAACCGTCATCGCCCGGAGGCTGCCCATGGCTTGGCGACGGGCGGTCTGCGAGGCGCGCTGGCCTTCTGAGAGGTCCGGGAAAAGGCCGTAGACGATTCGCGGTTCAGTGCACATGCAGACCGGGGGAAGGGCAGGGGAGCCTAAAATGAAACTGACCGAACAGAGAGGTGGCCAACAAAGACGGCCAAGGATGGACCGAGGAGGGAGGGATGCAACGGTACCCTGGGAGACCCGCCCGTCATTACAATTCGGGCCGATTGTATTGGCAACGTGCATCCCCCTCGGAAGCGCGCGCGCCCGGCCCAAACATGCAGCAAAACCGTCCCGTGGCACGCCGCCCCCTCCCGAGCGGTACGGCCTGGCAGAGAAAGCTCGCCAGGTAGCACATGCTCCAATAGAGGGCCACATGCGAACCCGACCCCTACCCCCCACGGCTTCCGAGGGGGAGGCTGGGGTTCGCTTCGCTCGGGAGCTCCCGAGGGGTAGGGGTCGGGTTCGCATGTGGCCCCCTATCAAAGTTTTCCTCGGAGGCGCCGCCTTTTTGGGGGGGCGACGCGCACAGAGAGTATTCGCAGGTTTGGGGTTGGAGCACCAGGTGGGGCACCTGCCCATCCTTACTATGTTTGCGGCTGCCACGACAGCGGGCGCCCGAACAGTCCGATCATCGAACTAAACAATGTGTTTAAAATGACGGATAATGTCCGGAGCATGTTCATAACATCTTTTTTTATATGTGTGAAGCACGTTTAACAGATGGTTCTAGACATCTGGAAAGTATTTGGCACCGCGCTTTCTCTACATTGATCGTCCTCCACAACACGATGCGGCTTCACTGTGCACGCCAGCGCCAGAGAAGAGGACCCCGTGTGATTCTGCGCCGCTCCGCTGGTCAGGGTGAGAGGTGTGCGTATTATGGGGAAACGACCGAAGGCTCGATCCTACACCAGGGGTCCGTAGGCAGAGGCACGGAGGAAGAGGTTAGCTGTTCCCTTTTCCGGGGCGCCGCGCGGAGGGCAGCGCACTGTTGGTGTGAACGCCACTACGTGACCTGAGCCGCCACAGCTGCGGCATGTGCTGATAGAATGGGGGCATGAACGGACTTCACACACACACACAAGAGGGGCGGGGCCCGGAACGGACTTCATTCACACACAAGAGGGGCGGAGCCTGGACGTCCTCGCAGGGTACAAAAGTCTTCTTCTCCGGTA